AGAGAGAGAGAGAGAGAGAGCCTCGAGTCTAGAGCCACAAAAAACACCGCAAAAGGCTGACGGCTGACGGGCCATGCCCGGGCCCGGGCCTCCCAACAGGAGATGTGGACGGGGCTACTGGAGCCGTATCGGTGCGTCAGCAGCTGCAGGAGCTGATGGGCATGCTTCCTGAGAAGCTGTACTTTTTCGGCATACCCACGAAGAGTCGCCCAAACAGCTGCAGCTTGGGTTCATGGTGTTTTGAACCGTGCGAAGCGTCATAGTATTTGCCAGCCTCACAGGCTCGAGCATAGCCCATCGTCAGTGCTCTTTAGAGAAGGCAGCACAGCCTGGTCTCCCATTCTTCAGGCAGGGATAGATCCGCCTTGGTTTCCTGCGCCGATTCACCTCTCCTCAAACCTTGCTACTCTTCGATACTCTCCCTTGCACTGTTCCAATGCCCTCTGCTAGCCTGGATGGTGTCCTTGTCAGATTCTGGCACAGGACGTGGCCCACTGCCTGGTATGCTTGACACACTCCACTCTCTGACAACTAAAAGAACACTTTGTTTGACCTGAGAACTGGACACACACGGCTGCTGCCACTGGTCTGAGCAGCACAGAGCGTTACCCAAGACAAGTTGCAAAAGGCCCTTCTGAAGGCTCCCGGCTGTGCTAACTCTGCTGCTGTGTGCCTCCAAGCGACAGTACGAGAAAGAGGCGCTAGGACAGAGGACAGCTGGGAGTTCGGCGGACCAGAAAGACGACCCCGACCTGCGGCTGAAAGTGTGGAGAACTCCAGAGACATTGTTCTAACCTTTGTTCGTGTTGCTCCTCCGGCCTGGCTGCCGGAGTGAGAACTGGGTCTGCATCAGGCCTCCTACGGAGCAACAGGCTTCAACTGCCTAAAATCCAGGACCGAAAGAGTGGCCGGGCTTTGCTCCTGGAGTCCTCGAGTTGAGGACCCAGAACCTTCATGCTACGAGCTAGCCGAGGACGCCGCGACGCCGAAGGCCCCGCCTCGCTCGCTGCCCTGGAATCTCTGGATTCTCCCCAAGCGAGGCGCCAGCGAGTCTCCATTTGCTCCAGCTTCCGGCATTTAAGCACTTGCGTGACTTTCGAGCTTGGCTCAAGCGGACGAAATAACCGTGGGGAAAGTCGCCAGACTGCACTACTGAACTAGGACTAGGACTTGACGAAGCCGGAGACGCATATGTCCCGAAGCGCTGGCCTTCACATCCTAGATTTTTTGGAAAACGACGTCTCAAAGAAGTGCTCAAAGATGCTGAGAAGCTAAGGTAAAGCAAGCACCCAATCTTTGGCTTGTACGAAGTAGGCTGTTACAGTAGCGATGGCCTTGTCGCGCTTTCTACCAACCGCCCGACCCATCTTGTCGTCATGAGCTTTCTGGGATGTTCTCACCTTCCTGGTTCTATGCAGGCTGGATATCCGCTGAGAATTTGTTGAGACAGTGGGCCGCGACATGAGGTCACATGCATACTCACTGTCGCTGATATTGATGCATGCTTCAATGGCTGCAAAGTCTAGGCATGTCACCAGCATGATGCACGGAAAGAACAGACAGCAGTGCTGGGCCTAGCCTCTTGATGGCGTACAAGGGACAACCGGCAGCTATAACTTGCACGGATCTTGGCAGTTGTCGGAGGGAACCCACGTGCAGTATTCGGACCCGGGTTGATGTTTCAAAGAACACGCTCATCTTTGCAGTTCACATCCGGTAACCATACGCTCGTTGGACTCCTTGAGATCCCCCGCTCGGAATGGAAGTAGGGCCTAGGCTCTTCTTTGTTGTGTTGTCCGCACGGAAAGCGCACCGCGGATCGCGGGCCGCAGACAGAACCCTGAAAGGAGATTCGAGATGCTGCATTAAAAACCCTAAACCCTAAAATTACGAAACCAAAACCCTAAAAAAGAAAGGTTAATTGAGAATCTCCAGGCTCTGGAAGGGAGATGTTGTTTACCATTTCCAAAACGCGACAACTGAGATTCCTGTTGCGACACCCAAAACCCAGAAACCACAAACCCTACAAGGATATGTTGCTTGCTATTTCCAACATCCTGAAACGAGATGTTGGTTAAAGAATCCTAAACCCTAAAACGAGAAGCTGCAGAACCCAAAACCCTACAAGAGGATACTGGTTGCCAAAAACCCGAGCAGCAGCAGTAGCAGTCAGTAGTAGCAATAGCAGTAGCAGTAGCAGTAGTAGCCGTCGTCGTCGTCGTCGTCGTAGTCGTAGTAGTCGTAGTCGTAGTCGCAGTAGTCGCAGTAGTCGTAGTAGTCGTAGTAGTCGTAGTAGTCGTAGTAGTCGTAGTAGTCGTAGT